TCATTCCCTACTGTAAAGAGGAACCTTAGATCTCTTTAGACTGAATGTTCATTCAGTAAAGGTTAATAAAGTTACCACCTTTCTTTATACTTCCTCACTTGCCTTTTAATTTGGGGGTATTTAGGGAATTGTTCATCTGAGGTAGCAAAGCCACTCTTCTCAGTCACCATGGAAATGCTAATTAAAACTATAATTAGATACCACAACACATTCACCAGAGTGCTAAAATAAGTTTCTTGTAATTTCAAGTATTGGTAAAGAGGTGAAGCAAGTAGAACTCTTACAGTCTATCAGTGGGAAAGCAAATTAGCACAACCAGTTTGGGAAAGTTGCAGTATCTACTAAAAATGAATATATATGCAATATATAATTAATAACATATCCAACAGAAATGTGCATATCCATGTCCCCAAAGACAAGTACAAGAATGTAAGAGCCACAAAGTGGCCATGATAAAAGAGTATATAGCACTGAAAGGTAAATTATTACCACTACACATAGAAGTCTCACATAAGTAATATTGAGAACAACAGGCCACAGAATAAAACATGTACAAATTCTATCATTCTGCTTACATAAAACTCAAAGAAAGGTGCAATAACTAATGGCATTTGAATTTAGGAAAATTGATATCTTACTGAGGATTGGGATTTGTAATTTTGGAAGAAAAAGAGCACCTCCAACTGTATTGATTATGTTCTATTTCTTAATTTGAATGGTTAACACACGTTTGTTGGTTTTGTGATAATTTATTGAGCTGTTCACTTATAATCTGTGCATTAAGCATACTTAACAAAGATCTTTAATTAATCAATTATATGATTATACCATATGTCAGATAACATATATGATATTAAAATAGAAAAATAAAAAGCACTTAATTATTCTACTGATGCATAGACTTCAAGTCTTTTTTTTCCTATATGAATATTCATACATGGGCACTTACTTAGCATTGATAGTTTTTCTAACAGAAATTATCAAAATTGTTTAATGAAAATAAGAAAATCTGAGTAGATCAAGCTTCTATAGTCTTAGAAGCACTAAACATTAAAAAATAAGCTACCAGTTCCAAAATAACCTTTCACATTAATTTACCACTAAGTTTTCCTAACTTTTAAAAAATATAGAATTCCCACACAATATTAAAAAATCTCATATCTTAGCAAGTAAATTTGAGAGGGATAAGACATGCTTTTTATTTTTCTTTTTCTTGAGTAACACTTCTTTCCCTTGTGATTCTTTGATTAAGACTTCTTTTTATTTATTTGTTTCCTCTCTTTTCATAAATAATTACCATGTTTTATCTGTTTGCCATTTTGGTGATTATTTTTTTCCTCATAATTTTCATCCTTGTCGTTATCTTCTGCATTCTGAGTGCTTCTTCTTCAATCTGCTTTCCATAAATCTAATTATGTTAGTTGTTGCCTACAAAAGTGAGTGAAAGTTGCCCAGTCATGCCTGACTCTTTGCAACCCCATGGACTATACAGTCCATGGAATTCTCTAGGCCAGAATACTGGAGTGGGTAGCTGTTCCCTTCTCCAGGGGATTTTCCCAACCCAGAAATCAGACTCAGATCTCCCACATGGCAGATGGATTCTTTACCAACTGAGCCACCATGGAAGCCAAAGAATACTGGAGTGGGTAGCTTACCCTTCTCCAGCAGACCTTCCTGACCTAGGAATTGAACTGGGATCTCCAGCATTGCAGGCAGAACTTTACCAGCTAAGCTACCAGGGAAGTCCCTCGCCTATGAAGGCCAATTTAATTCTTCTATTACGTTTTCTGTTTTCTTTCAATCCTTTGCATTTCAACTTTTCAATGTTAATGGCTCATATTTCTAAATTAATCAATGCAAATGTTAAGGACAAAATATAATTTTCTAAAATATTTTTCTGGTTTTCATACTAACTCATTGATCTACACATGCATTAGCTCAGGTTTTCATTCCCCACATTAATCATCATCAAGATCATGTTTGACTTTGATTATGCTGTTGCTATTGCTTCTGTATCTGAGAATGTGAGAAAAACCCATTGAAGGGTAGTATTTCTCAACAGACAAGTCATAAGACTGACCATTAGCCCTTGGTCCTACTGATAACTTGATTTTTTTGCAGAAAGCCTCTAAGCTCCACAGTTGAGTAGACTGTGAACAACCTCAGGCCTAAATTCCAATGAGTATCAGGCATAACCTCTGAGCCACCAGGGAAACCCTCAAATAAAACCCCTCTGTTGGAATGCTAGCGACCCATCCTGTCTCCACACTGTGGTTCTCTGATCACACACATACACAGTACTATTACGATCGTCACTAATATCATTATGACCACATCGGCAAAACCTATCTTCCTCCTTGGTTACAATGTATTTCCATAAGCCCTTCCTTTCTTTCTACCCTTTTCAGAGGGATCAGGAAAGATAATCCTAAAGTGGATACAGATATGAAGGCACTGGTTGAAGGGAGGTGCCAAGATACCGTTGCTTAACTTTCTAAGTCATACCAATCATGGATCTCTGAGTTAGCAGGCAGAAGGCAAGGGAGGAACACAGAGTCTCGCTCTCTATTACTTAAGGCCATGGGCTTGCTCTATTCCAGATTGCAAATTTTAATTTAGCAATATGGAGTCTTCCCAGAAGCTAATAATAGATTGGTTGAAAGACTCAGTTTTGAATTTTGTCATAAATTTTCATCTTTATCTGTGCCCTTATAGCCATTTTAAGTTGCATTAAGGACTATTAATCTGGTAGAACTTCCAAACAACAACTGACACCTTAAACTGTGATTAAAAAACCAACCCATCAGCATCATTTGGAGAAAAATTCAATCTTCCTCTAATATTTACTCACAACCAAGAGTTATTCCTGAACATCTGTGCAATATTACTTTGACACAGATGGCAAAATAGTTATTAATAACATAGCACATGTAAATATTTGGATCCATCTCAGTAGAACTGAGAAAGCTACAAAACTGTCTTATGAAGTAAATTTTCATTGCTGACTCAGTGTTCATTTTACTTTGCCCCCAAAGTGCTGTAATCTCCTTTGGTACTTTTTGAAATAAACAAGTAACATCTATTTTCAGAATTTTTTAGTGTAGTGGGGAGATGAATTCATTTACATTTCATAGCAGGCCAAGATCCACTTTATCTCTTAGAAATATACAATGTCTCTACACTGTTCAGGAAGTGACAAGGTCCAGCCTTCTAAATACAACTTAACTTCACTTTTCAAAGAATAAATACCGTGAAAAAAGGAGGGGAAGAAACATATCAGGAGAAAATCAGCAGCATATCATTTTTTTTTAAAGTCTTGGTTTCTTATAAATAATTTAAAAAGAAATCACCCCTATAGACTCTCAACTTTTTTTTCATGTTAATTACTTCATACGACTCTTTTAAGATATTTTGTTATGGTCAATTCTCTTTCAGTGATTGCCTGTGAACAATTTGCAATTCAATCTTTTGCCCCTTCGATTATGAAACAAGCTTCTTGCTGCGTATTGAGGCAATAGGAGCAGTATGAAGACATGGACTAGAAGACTGGATGTCTAGGAGTGAGCATTGTATTTCCCTCATATTAGCTCTACTGGTGCTAAGACTTACTGTAAGGTCTACAGGTTCGTGCCCATCTACACATGCTAATTGGTCTGTACCATGAGAAGTGTGGAAACAGAGGACAGGCATTAGAAACTTTATAGACATTTAGTAATTTTATGTCTGTAAGATAAAGACAAACGATAATAAATGTGTGGATTTCTATGTTTTATATGACTTTGAGTCATTTCCTAGTAATACTTTTTTTTAGAAATTTTATAAAAGCATTCAGTCTATAATGGATTTAAATGAATTAACAGTAACTGACCCTTAACCGTAGGGTCTGAGAAGCACAGAGCTATATGCACATGGAATGTATTCAACATGCTGGACCTCAATTTCTCCATCTCTAAAAATATGAGAAAAGATCCCAACTTTGTCTTCCATAGAGATTATATGGAAACTAAACAGAATTACTTATTCATAAATTATTTATAAGCTCTAAAGTTAAGAGCTAGCTCATTGGAAAAGCCCCTGATGCTGGGAAAGACTGAAGGCATGAGGAGAAGGGGACAACAGAGGATGAGATGATTAGATGGCATCACTGACTCAAGGGACATGAGTTTGAGAGAACTCTGGGAGATAGTGAAAAACAGGGAAGCCTGGAGTCCTTCAGATCATGGCGTCACAGAGTCAGACACAACTGAGCAACTGAACAACGTAAAACTTCATATAAGTATATGGCTGTTATATTCTAAGTAATAATCACATGGGAAACAGCACAGTATCTTAGCTAAAAGAGGCTTGGTATTTATTAGATGCCTAATAAATGTCTGTTTGCTTTATGAATAAATATAAGAACAGAAACTCAGGCATCAGACAACTGCATTCAAACAATTGCCACAGGAGCAATGTGTGATTTAACGCAGGCCGCACATCTTTCAATGCACAATTTCGCCTTCAGCAAAATGAGAGTAATAATAGCTTCAAACTTAAGGGTTGTTGTGATATTCAATAAAATAATGCAGTATTTAGCATTTAGTACTTGACACACGGAATGTATTCAATAAATATTAGTCATATCTTTTATCTCCTCTTCTTTGCTAAGGAAATGCTCAGCTGTTCATAGGTAATTTCTTACTTAATTCATAGGAAAATATAACAAGGCAACAACCATAATCTCCATTTTAAAATTAGAAAGACTGAAAGAATTAAACAACTTCCACAAAGTCACAAAGCTACTTTAAATCCCTGTCTGTCTATAACAGAATTGGTGACTTTTCCCACCTAATACCATCTCCCTAAGGTATTCTAAGTAATGAGAATAAATTTCATAGGAAATATTTTAGAAGCATTCTCATTTTTTTTTATAAGCTCTGAGGATATTTTATGTGAGAAATGGCATCAACAGATTTAATAATGCATAAAAGAGACACCCATGAACCATCTCTTTCACTTACCAGTTTGACGCGTCAGTCTCCTCATGCTGGGACACTTTTAGTATACTGCTCTAAGTCTCTTTGCATAACCTTGTTTCAAGGCTGCCAAAACATGCAAAAAGAAAAATGATATTTGCTTCTGGAAGGATTTCCATATATTAGTGGCCAGAACAATAATAATTCAAATTTACATAGCATGTTTTATAAAGCATTTAAAGAAACACAATAGGGATTAACCTTCTTCACATGTTTGGGGTTTTGCATCTTGAAAGCAAATATATTATCGTGCTTTACCCTGGAATTCTCAGAACATGACAAAGTATCTATCATCTAGGCATTCATTAAATTCTTTCTTTTTTTTTTTGTTAAATAGTTGAAAGAATGAAACTTATGTTCCAATACATTAATATATTTGAAGATCTTCAATCTTCCACTTCAGAAGACAAAATGGTATTTTGTTATAATGTACTTTTCTGAAGGGAAGAAGAAAATAAATCTGAAGGAGAAAGTATTTTTTTGCTACACCAATAAACCTGACATTTCAAAGGATAAAATTTGACAATGAGGTCAACATGCAAGACACAGATTATTCTGCATAGTTTCAATATTTAATAAGTATTGGATGAAACTAAAAATCTATTATCAAAAATAATAACTATCTATTTACATTGGAAATTTAAATTCAATGAATTCAAAGTGTGAATTTACTTTTGAAGTAACTATACATTTGAAAAAGGGAAATAAAATGTTCTTTTTATAATTAGAATGTCTTTTCCATTGTCCTAATGCTACTTTCCAACTCTGCTCAACTCTCCGCTGCAATCCACAAAAAGAGAGAAGGATAAAGGAAAGAAAGATAAGTTGACAGAAAAAAATAGTAAAGGCTATCCTAGGATAGTGTTTATTAACTCAAAAATAAGTGTAATGAGATGAGATATTTCTTAAAACAATTAATCACTGGTCTTCATAACTCATACTTTATACCATTGTCTCTTTGATATTGCTATTTTTTTGACCAATAGTAATAGTCATATCATAATATAATGGTGATGATTACTATTTCATTGCTTACAATGTATCAGGAATTGCCTTTTATCATTTTATAGGAATTGTCTAACTTAATAACCTAAGTCTAACCTATAAGGTAGGTAACATTAATCTCTCCATATTTTAAAGATAAGAGAACTCAGGCTCAGTTTTAAAAAATTAATAAAGAGCCACTACTAATAACCAATAAAGTAGGATTTGAACCTTTCCCTGTACGACCTGTATGCAGGTCAGGAAGCAACAGTTAGAACTGGACATGGGAAAATAAACTGGTTCCAAATAGGAAAAGGAGTATGTCAAGGCTGTATATTGTCACCCTGCTTATTTAACTTATATATGCAGAGTACATCATGAGAAACAATGGGCTGGANAAAGACCCTGATGCTGGGAAAGATTGAAGGCAGGAGGAGAAGGGGATGACAGAGGATGAGATGGCTGGATGGCATCACTGACTCAATGGACATGAAGTTTGAGTAAGCTCTGGGAGTTTTTGATCAACATGGAGGCCTGGCATGCTGCAGTCCATGGGGTCGCAAAGAGTTGGACATGATTGAGCAACTGAACTGAACTGAACTGAGCCTTTCCAAAATCTGTTCTGTTATTCACCAAATTATCTACTACTTTCCAAACTTAATCCAAACTGGACCCTTGATTTTAGGGATCCTTGTTGATAAATTCCTGTTCTGTTATAATTATGAACCCTGCGTGTGTGTGTGTGTTCAGTCACTCAGCCATGTCCATCTCTTTGTGACTCCATGAATGTAGCTCTCCAGGATTCTCTGTCCATGGGATTTTCCAGGCAAGAATACTGGAGTGGGTTGTCATGCCCTCCTCCAGGGGATCTTCCTGACCCATGAACTGAACCTGTGTGTCCTGCATCCCCTTCATTGGCAGGCAGATCATTTACCTCTGAGCCCCATGGGAAGACTTATGCACCATGAATATAACTAAAATCCATACATCTCTCTTCTTTCATCAGTTGAAGTCACCATCATGTATTACCTAGAGGACAGCGAAAGTTTTCTATCTATTCTCACCAATCCCACTCTTGACCCATTATATCAACCACTGCTCACATTCTGGCCGGGGTAAACTGTTTTACAGCATAATACATCATTTTACTAGCCTGCTTAAAAATTTTCATTGGTTTTCTATTGTACAGGATTAAAATCCAATTATTTTATTGTGACCTACAAGTGCTGACATGAACTGGCTATAGCCTACCTAACAAATATTACTTTATATAGTTTTCCTCCATATAACAAATTATTTTTCTCATACTTATTCACGTATGTCTGCCTGCTCTTTTGAGATATTAAAACAATTTCCATTACAAAAAATAAAAGATTTATTAACACTTTTTCCTTAACAAGAAGCACACTAAAGACGACAACTGTGTCCATTAATTATTTTCTGAAAGGATTCCCAACTGTAACAATCTCAGATTGGTATTCTGTGGGGAATATTGATATTACATATACTATTAATTTTATTTTTGAGTATATTTTGTAAGTATCACAGACTAGGGTTAAAATTTAGAGACTTCTAAATTATTCATGTTCTATCTGTAGCTATGATCAATAACAAGCCAAAAGAGAAACCAGTAACTCTAAAACAGCACTGAAGTAAGATTGTACACTGAGGCACTAATATTATTATAGTACATACACTTTGGTTTTAGTCACACAAAGCAATGGCATGTAAAGACTTGATTAGTTTCAAAAGCAGCTTATTTTCCTATATGAATCATTCTACAAAATATGTAAACCCAACAAGCTTCGTTTCAGTATGAGTATTATTATCATTATGGTTTAAAACATTGCTTCTCAAATTTAAAATGAGTATGAGTTATATGCTATCTATATGCACAGAGTCAAGTGGTAAAGAATCCACCTACAATGCAGGGGATGCAAGAGTCCGCGGTTTGAACTCTGAGTCATAAAAATCCTCTCAAGGAGGAAATGACAACTCACTCCACTATTCTTGCTGGGAAAATCAAATGGACAGCGGAGCCCTAGAGTCCATGGGGTCGCAAAGATTCAGACAAGACTGAGTGACTGACCAGCAGCATATGCACATTAACCAAACCAGGTTTTGGATTTGGTGGGTCTAGGACCACACTCAAGAGTCAATAGTTATCCCAGGCTTAGGTTATGCTGATGGTGCTCATCCACTGACTGTACATTGGGTCAGATTCAGATGACAGCTCCAGATGATTTAAAATTCAAGTTGTGTGTATGTGTGTGTATACTATCCATGTGCAAAAATATTACAAAATAAATGAAAGTGAAAAGTGAAAGTGCTAGTTGCTCAGTCATACCCAGTTTTTTGGGAGCCCATGGACTGTAGCCTGCTCTGTTCATGGGATTCTCCAGGCAAGAATACTGGAGTGGGCTGCCATTCCCTTCTCCTGGGGATCTTCCTGCCCAGGGATCAAAACTGGGTCTCCTGAATTGCAGGCAGATTCTTTTCCACTGTCCACTNGAGGATCACAGAGATTTGGACATGACTGAAGAGACTTGGCATGCATGCAACAGCCAAGTACCATTCTAATGTTTTACATGTATTGATTCATTTAATCCTCATTAAAATAAGCTATTACTATGCTGAATTTTTAGGGTACAGAAATTAGTTCAAGATCATATGACCTAAAAGTAGTAAAACTAAAATTCAAATTTAAGTATGTTAGATTTTATTTTTATAATAAAGTAAAAATTGATATTTTTTGAAGAATCAAGTAAATATCTTCCGTGATGGAAAATATTTTAGTATTGCAAGAGTAAACATAGGACTCAACCTCTATATCACATGCTTTATTAAAAGAAAATATTTACATTAAAATAAGAACTATTTGGAATAGCATAGGAAAAGTCATTATAAACTTTACAGAATACTGATTCTAGTTCTCATTTCCAAAGCTTAGCAAGAGATTTTTTCATTGCTAAATATTACTTTATTACTGATGATGACTTCCTAAAAGTATGATTTTATCACTGTTGAAAGGATGAAGAAACATAACTAGATATTGAAAGATAAAATTTCAACAGTCATGCATTCATATAACAAGGATATGCTATTTCTGACCTTTTCAGCTAATTTCCAAATAGCAATATATTCCATAAGCAGGTCTCCAAATTCCACTAAAGAAATAGTCACTATTGGGTATACCGACAATCACAATTTCTCCCATTTTAAGTACCATTATTGAAGCATATTTTACCTATAGAATCATACACACTCACACACAGACACACACACATGCACACACATATAACCATACAAGGGAATTTTTTTGAAATTATGAGTACTGCATTTTGGGAAAACTGTAAAAGGAACACTTCCAAAACATAATTTTAACACCAATAATAAATTATTCTTATCTAGTTTGAAAGATTGGAGAAGGAAATGGCAATCCACTCCACTATTCTTGCCTAGAGAATCCTGTGGATGGAGGAGCCTGGTGGGCTGCTGTCTATAGGGTCACATAGAGTCAGACACACATGCATGCACTGGAGAAGGAAATGGCAACCCACTCCAGTGTTCTTGCCTGGAGAATCCCAGGGACGGAGGAGCCTGGTGGGCTGCCGTCTATGGGGTTGCGCAGAGTCGGACACGACTGAAGTGACTTAGCAGCAGTAGCAGCAGTTTGAAAGATGATGTACTGCCAATGATTTCACGTGAGGTTCTCTTAAAGTTCCAAAGAGTTGATATTATAATAATTGCAAGTTATAATGGTTTCTCTTACATTCACTACCAAATCAAAAACTTCTAACATAGAAAAGGTATGGTCTCTGCCCCATACATTAATAAGGCTCATTTCTAAAAGAAGTTTAAGAACTGGCCAGTTTTCATTTTCTTCATTAGTTCTGAGAGCCAACCTCTCATCTTCTTTGCCTGAATCTTCAAATGCTTTCTTCGACAAACTCTTTGTAAAGAAGCACATCAGGGTCTCCATAATACTGGGCACTGTGACTCTGATTATATTTCCAAATCAATTTTTCGGAGTTTTTTCTT